CTCTGCCTCCCTGAGTGCTAGGATCAAAGATGTGCTCCACCATACCCAGCTTGGCTTGCTTTCTTATAGAACCCAGGACTGCCCAAGGATGGCACCACCCACCACGGGCTGGACCCTCCCACATTAATTACTAAGTAAGAAAGTGCCCTACTGCCAGATCTTAGGGAGGCATTTTCTTAGTTGAGGTTCACTCCTTGCAGATAAGTACTTTAGTTTGTGTCAAGTTGACACAATCTTAGCCAGCACGGTGACTCTCTTCTTTTGTGTTCTCTGTTTCAGCCCACTCTATCCTTTCAGGCTATGATTTTTGCACTCTTTTTCCTAACTGGTTTTCCCAGTCTCCAGTGGTTTGTTTGATTTTGGGAGGGGGAGGGAAGAGGTTCAACACAGCTTGCTTGCTTGCTTTTTCTGTTTTCTTTCTTTCTTTCTTTCTTTCTTTCTTTCTTTCTTTCTTTCTTTCTTTCTTTCTTTTTTTTTTTTCTTTTTTTTTTTTTTTTTTGAGACTGGGTTTCTCTGTGTAGTCCTGGCTATCCTGGAACTCACTGTGCAGACCAGGTTGGCCAAGTGCTGGATTTAAAGGTGAGTATCACCACTGCCCGTCCATTTGATTTCTGTGTTTTCAAGTTACCTTCTCATCCTGCCAGATGGATTTAAGACACTGTACTGGATGATGGACCTACTCATTTACCCAAAGCCCTAAAACAATCATGTCAGTGAAGGCTTCATTTCACAGATACCTCTTTTTTATATGTTTTTTTGTTTTGTTTTGAAGACAGGGTTTCTCTGTGTAGACTTGTGCCTCTGCCTCATTAAGTGTTGGATTGCAGGTGTGTGCCACTGTGCCCGACACAGATATTTCTTGGTACATGCCATGTGCCAGATGGTAAGGTCCTGGACTGGTCCTCGCAGTCTGCACACCTCCCACCTGCACCAGCACATTCTTCAGACTGGCCAGACCAAGGTTGACAGCTGCATTCTTCTCCTTTTCTCTACATTTATTTACTTCATATGTATGAATGTTTTGTTTGCATGTATGTCTGTGTGCTGTGTACGTGCCTGGTGCCTGTGGAGGTCAGAAGAGGGTGTTGGATCCCCTGGAATTAGTTACAGATGGTTGTGCGCCTCCCTCCATGTGGGTGCTGGGAATTAAACCTGAGTCCTCTGCAAGAACAACAGAGGCTCTTAGCTCTTAAGCTATATCTCCACCCTTCCCTGGCCTGCATTCTTGGTGCAGAGTGAGTTTCTCTTTCAAACCCATCTTTCCCTTTTCATTTGCTTTTTTGCTTTTTTGTTTTTTTAGACAGGGTGCCGTGTATTCCAGGCTGGATTTAGTACTGCCCTGTAACTGAAGCTTAGCTTTGAGTTCCTGATCCTTCTGCCTCACCTTCATGTCATCTGGAAGAGCAGCCAGTGCTCTTAACGGCTTCCTTTTTCGTTTCCAACCTGGTTCTTGATATTCCTTGACATCAGCTGTTTGAGTTCTGAAGAGTTCTTACTGCTGGGAGCATGGCACAGTCCTGGAGTGCTTGCCTAGTATATACAAGGTATAGACTGGTATATACTTGTTTGAGGCTAGCTTGGGACACACTAGACCCTGTCTCAAATGTTATGTGTATATTTTTAAACTTTATTTTTATATAATGCTTCTGTCTTCCCAAATAGGAAGAATTCTTGGGCCTATGAGATGTCTCATAGGATGTGGTATGTGGGATGTGCTTGTGCAAACCTGAGAACCTAAGTTGAATCCCTGGGAACCATGGAAAGATGGAAAAAAAGAACTGACCTCTGAGTGTTGTCCTCTTTATTTTACCTGGACACTGTGTTATGTCTGTATGTGCATAGCATACATACCCCACAGTAATAATTTTTTTTAGTTAAAAAATTACTGTCATTAGCTTTTTTTTGCTTGCTTTCTTTTAAGTTCTGGGATTACAGGGGGCTGGAGAGAGATGAATCCAAGTGGGGCATCTCACAGCTGCCAGTAACTCCAACACACACATGCACTAATGAAAATAAAAGCTTTAGGATTCTAAGTATGCCTGCTTATGTTGGGATGCTAAACAAATACTCTGAGCAACGAGCTGTCTCCAGTCCTTCTCACTAAAGAAATTAATGATTTCTAGCAGGGCATGGAGGCGCAGCCTTTCCTCAAGGCACTCGGAGGCACAGGCAGGTGATCTCTGAGTTTGAGTTTGAGGCCAGCCTAATCTACAGAGTGAGTTCCAGGACATCCAGGGCTACACAGAGAAACCCTGTCTGAGATGTTGGGGGGAGAACAAATAAATAAATAAATAAATAAATAGAAAGAAAGAGGTGATCCCTGCCATCTCTTCTACTGCTTACTTATCCTTTCTAATGTAGCAAGCATTTGGGCATTGTTATATGACCTTTCACATTTTCACACAGACTGCACGGACCATTAAGTCCTCCTTTCGTCTCAATAAAACCAGAACCATACAATACCACACTGGTTCTTAAGTGTCCAAGGCCCTTGGGAGGATCCCCAAGCCCCTTTCATGATAATATTAATACTCTTTTGCCTTTTCCACTGGGTCGGCTTTTGTACTGGGTAAAATTGCTGGGCCTTTGGCCATGCTCTAGCACCAGGGTTGTTTTTTTTTTGGTTTGGTTTTTGTTGTTGTTTTTACGATTTATTTTATTATTTATACAGTACCCTACCTGCATGTACACCTCCATGCCAGAAGAGGGCACCAGATCTCATTCTAGATGGTTGGGAGCCACCTTGCGGTTGCTGGGAATTGAATTCAGAACCTTTGTAAGAACAGCCAGTGCTCTTAACCTCTGAGTCATCTCTCCAGCCCACACCAGGGAATCTTGACTGTCACACAAGCTTAACAGTAAATTGTGCATCTCACTTAGGAAGGTCTAGTTATTTCATATGTTGAAAGTGGTGTGTTCTATTAAATTCTGGTCTCCAGTGCATAACTTTCCAATGACTGAAAGGGAAGCAGAACTGGAACACCTGCCACACGCTAAAGCAAGGTGGTTGTCTGCAGAAAAGCTGTTGAATTGCAAGCTAAACAGGCTCTTTTCGTGGGACACCCTCAGATGGATTATGAAAATTAAGACATCTGACAATCATTTTCCTGCAAAGGAAGTAAGAAGCTCATTCTGTCAGCAGGATGTAGTGGCACAGGCCTTTAATCCCAGCACCAGGACACTTTGGAGGCACAGGCAGGTGAATCTTTGAGTTCAAGGCCAGCCTGGTCTACAGAGTTCCAGGACAGCGAGAGCTACATAGAGAAACCCTGTCTCAGAAAAACAAAAGTAAATAAATAAAACAAATAAGCCTGTTGTTTCAAAGAAAACAATGTTCAGTACTTATTGCTAATAATAAAATTCAAACCTTTAGGCTGGAGAGATGGCTCAGTGGTCAAGAGCACTGTCTGAGTTCTCTAGAGGTCCTGAGTTCAATTCCCAGCTACTACATGGTGGCTCATAACCATCTATTCAGGGATCTGATGCCTTCTTCTGGCATGCAGGTGTACATGCAGATAGAACACTCATATAAATAAGTCTTTAAAATATATAATTCAAACCTTCAAGTGAAAATGAGACTTTTGAAAAGTTTTTGTCTTCTACAGTGACCTAACTGGCAGTGTCTAGTATTTAAGACTTTTTCTAGGAGCTTGGCATAGTTTGGCTCATGAGGAGCCTATATTGCTCTTCCAGAGGACCTGGCTAGTTCCCAGCACCCAGATGGAGTCTCTCATGAGTGCCTGTAACTTCAGCTCCAAAGGACCTCGTACACTCTTCTGGCCTCCACCTGTACCTGCCCTCATGTACCCACACACAGAGTTACAAAAAGAATAAAAGTAAGACTTTGAAAGAAATTAATATAATTTCTTACTATTGCACAAAGAAGTGCATACTCTAACAAAGTAAGAGTGTAAATGGGTCTTTAAGTTAACTTTGAAACTTCTACACAGCCTATACTTGGCTTTTGTTTGTTTTGTTTTTGAGATTTTTCTCTTGTATCCTAGGCTTTCTTTAAACTTTTTGTGTGGCAGGCACTGGCCCTGAACTCCTGTCCTACTTCCGTTTAGCAGATGCTTGGAATTATGAGTGTGAACCATAACTCCCAGGCCCTACAGCTTGCTTTTTCTGTAAATTTTATGAATACTTTCTACATTAATATCTAACTTTTTTTTTCTTTTTAACAGCATGGTATTCCATTGTATGTTTGAACCAAAACCATCTGTTGTTGGCCCTTTAGAATGCTTTCAGCTTCTTGCGGATTTAAATGTATGGAATGTGGAGAGATGGTTCAGTGGTTAAGACTACTTGCTGCTCTTCCAGAGGCTCTGAGTTCAGTTCCCAGACCCACACCAGTCAGCCACCTATAACTCTGGCTCCAGATAATCCAACACCCTCCTTTTGGACTCTACAGAGACATATACACACTCACGTTGAGACACATGTAGTTAACAGCAAAAAGTACTGTGTGAACAAGTGTTTTACTTGTGTGTCCACGTGCTTTGATACATTTATAATGGTTTTCTAAAAGGTTTGTGTTTGCAGAGTCTATGTAAATGAAACCTCTCACTCTTTCCGCATTTCTCCATGTGGTTCTAGAAGCCTTGGCCCCTTATAGTCTGTTGACTGCTTTTGATGTTCCCTTTGCCTTGTATTCTCCAAGAATGCCATCTCTGCCCGGTCTGTCTGCATATGTTAGTTAGAAGAAGCTCTGTGAGGGCGAGGACAGTGTGTTGGTCAATAAATAATGACAGAAGATTGAAAGTTAGTAAGAAATGCCATAGCTGAGTGGTGTTGCCTATACTGTTGGTGCTCAGCAAGTGGAGGTGGGAGGATTGGAAGTTCAAGGCCTGCTTGGTCTGCATCGTGAGCCCTTCCTTACCTTTCAGTAGGTGGATAGATAGGTGGGTGCTGGGGAGCTGTACACCTTTGTAAGCACTTTCCTCTAGGAAAATGTTTGAAAATGAGAGAGACTAACTCCATCTCACTTTCTGTCATTTCAGGCAAATACATTGCCTCAACACAGAGGCCCGACGGGACCTGGCGCAAGCAACGGAGGGTCAAAGAAGGATACGTGCCCCAAGAGGAGGTCCCAGTGTGCGTGGTTAGGTTTAACAAGGGGTATTTAGTGGGGTCCCTACACCAGTATAGGACATTGTGCCTTTGAGTTCAGGGATGACTCGCCTGAGCCCGAAAGAAATGGAAGGAGGGACAACGGTCTCAGGAGAGGAAGGAGCTGGGATTGAGGGGTGAGTGAGGGTTCCCCCAACTAGTCTTGTTCCTTTGGCCTCTATTCTTCAGAATCTCTATACAGCAATCAAAGAGCCAGAGCTTTGAGTTGTAGAACTTTCCTATAGACCAGGAAGTGGGAGGAGTGAGGGGGAAGCAAGGCCACACCTGCGAAGCTTTAGCATCTCTGTTTCCTGCAGCTATGAAAACAAGTATGTGAAGTTCTTCAAGAGTAAGCCAGAACTTCCCCCAGGCCTGAGCCCTGAGGCCACCACACCCATCACCCAGTCCAGACCTGAAGGTGGTGAAGCAGGCCTCTCCAAGACAGCCAAACGCAACCTGAAGCGGAAAGAGAAGAGGAAGCAACAGCAGGAGAAAGAGGCAGAGGCTTTGAGCAGGACTCTTGATAAGGTGTCTCTGGGAGACACAGCCCAGACGCCCAGTGCTCTCCAAGGCTCCCAGGCCACCCCTCTAGCTGCCTCTGATGCATCTGACTCTGTTGCCACCACAGAGAAAGCCAAGAAGATCAAGAACCTAAGGAAGAAGCTGCGACAGGTGGAGGAGCTGCAGCAGCGCATCCAGGCCGGGGAGGTCAGCCAGCCCAGCAGAGAGCAGCTGGAGAAGCTGGCCCGGAGGAGGGCCCTGGAGGAGGAGCTGGAGGACTTGGAGCTTGGCCTGTGAGGCTTCCTGAGTAAGGGAGTGGACTGCAGAACAGACCATGGGGTGCTCTGGGGTCCAGGGAGTGTGGGCCGCAGCAGTCAGGAGGGGCACCCCCACACTGGCTCACTTCCACCTCCTGTGGCCCGACTCTGTCCTCCAGAGCCTAGGCTCTTCTTCCTTCTCCTTTCTTCTCAGCTCCTGTTTTTGGACTTGTTCCCTCCCATTCCCAGCGTTCACAATCTCAGTGATGACCCTAGGTGCCTCTGCTGCTGACCTGGGTGTCTTGTTGAAAAGAAAACCGGGGGGTGGGAGTCTACTAGAGATCTGAGGTTGAGGGTACAGGGAGTACCCCGAGTCTTGGAGTCTTGGTTCCTGTTCACAGTGTTTTATGAGTTTCTTCCCTGGCCATCCCGAACTTTTTTTTTTTTTTTTTTTTTTTTAAAGAAAGTAAGAATAAATTCAAGTAGACAACATGTGGTCAGGCTTTGGCTCTGTTCTCAACTCTTATCCTGTCAGTTTGGTGAGGGCCTTGCACGTGGGAGCTCCACCATTGACCTCCATCCCTAGCCCTAATATTTTAGTCTTAAAGGCGCAGTTGGCTATGGCTGTGTGCACCCACGGTCATGCCCCGGAGGCAGTGGCCAACCTGGGTAAGACTGTCTCAACAAAGTAATGGATGTCAAAGTTAGCCTCAGTAAACAGAAGTTAGTGTTGGAATCTAGTGAAATTTAGAGTAAGGTTAATCTGACATATCAGTGCCCTTGTGCCACAGAGCAGTAAGTCAGCTCTGCCTTCCCCACTGCATCTCAGGGTATGTGATCTATTCAGATGCCTGCAGCAGCTCTGAAATCTCCTCCTGGTTGCTGCCTACCACGACACCATGGGCAAAGTCATGATAGGTGTCAAGATGCAGCCAAAAGATCTGCTGTTCAATTCCTGTTTTACCCTTGCTCCAGCTGTGCCACAGACTAGTGAGAAGAAAGGGAGAGGCCGCAACCATGGCTGGCTCTCGGGCATCCAGAGGCCCAAGTTTGACTCCTAAGTCCCACCAAAACCAACTCCTTACCCTCTCCAGTCCTTTTTTAGCTCTTGAGTCTTTGGGAATCCTTCCCTTACCATCCCCTCACCCTCAAATATGAACGAAGTTCATCTTTTTTTTACCTGTCTCTTGTGTGTTCTGTGTGTGTAGAAACACATGTATGTGTGCCCATGACTGTATACACATGTAGAGGAGCCACCACCTTGTTTTTTGAGGCACCGGGCCGGGCCTGGGGCTTGCTCGCCAATTCTGCTAGGCTGACTGGCTAATGAGTCCCAAGAATGCACTTGTCTCTGCCTCCCTAGACTAGCTCCTCCAACCGCCAGGGATGAATTCAGGGCCTCAAGCTTGCATTTTACTGACTGAGCTGTCTTTCCTACCGGTAATGGTAATTGTCAGTGCTATATTATGTTTGTTTACTTCTCAACCATCCCTCATTAGACCAAGAGTTCTTCTAGCTTCTAAACTAGTTGGCTAGTTTGAAGCAGGATCTCTGTGTATCCTTGGCTGGCTTGAGCTGGAATTCACTGTGTAGATGAGGCTGTGATTGTCCTGCTTCTACTTCCCCAGTGCTGGAATTACAGCTATTGTGGGCTATTGTATTCCTAACAGTTAAATTCTCAAGTGTCCAGCTGAAATCAGGCTTGGAGCCACACATAGAAAAGAACACAGCTAACAAAAAAGACTCAGCTGGAACCAATGAAAGACCAAAAGCCTGAGTTTCATTTTGTAGGAACCCAGTAATCATACATACATATCATATAGGCTCCTGAAGGATGGGTAGGATGAAGTTAGGTGTCAGAGTGCTTACCTAGTATGTACAAAGCCCTGGCAGTAATTCCCAGAACCACATAAAACAGCAATAAAGCACAGGCCTGCAGTCCCAGCTCGCTGGGAGTAGAGCAAGAGAGAAGTTAAAAGACGTCACAATTCAGGCTGGTGCTAATGTGAGACAAATTTTTGAGTGAGTCAAGGTTGTCCCTGAGCCCACACACCTACTTTGCAGGACTTGTGGGTGTGGATCTGCCTGACTCCTGTGCTGGACAGTTTTATGTCAACTTGACCCAAGCTAAAGTCATCCGAGAGGAGGGAACCTCAAGAAAATTTCTCCATATGACAGGGCCGTTGGCAGGCCTGTAGGGCATTTTCTTACTGGGTGGTGCTATCCCCAGGCTGGGGGTTCTCAGTTTATAAAAAGGCAGGCTGAGCAAGCCATGGGGAGTAAGCCAGTAAGGAGCACCCCTCCTCGGCCTCTGCATCAGTTCCTGCCTCCAGGTTCCTTTCTCTTGGAGTTCCTGTCCTGACTTCCATGATGAACAGTGATGTGGAAGCATTAAGCCAAATAAACCCTTTCCTCAACTTTCTTTGGTCATGGTGTTTCATCTCAGTAACAGAAACCCTAAGAGCCCACTCCCCATAAGATTAAAAAAATTTAATAAAGGACATCCTCAGCTGCCTTAGATCCTGCTATCCTGTCTTAAATTTTTTTAACTTTTTTTTTTTTTTTGGCTTTGGCTTTGGCTTTTTGAGACACAAAGTTTCTTTCTTTGTGTCTCTTAAGATGGCTCTTAACCTCTGAGCCATCTCCCTAGCAACCCCCTACCCCTTTTCTTTTCTTTTTTTTTTTTTTTTTAATTTATTTATTATTTATACAGTGTTCTGCCTGCACACCAGAAAAGGACACCAGATCTCACTATAGAGGGTTGTGAGCCACCGTGTGGGTGCTGGAAATTGAACTCATGAAGAGCATGAATTTGGGGCTTACAGTTTCAGAAGATTTAAAGAGCCCGTGAGCATCAGGAGGGGAGCACGGGAGCAGGCAGGCTGGTGCTGAAGCAGGAGGGGAGAGTGGTGTGGTGCAGGAGTGAGCTAGCTGGACATGGTGTGGGGTTTTCCAACCTCAAAGCCCAATCCCAGTGCCACCTCCTGCAACAAGTTCCTTCTGAAGAAGGGGGACCAAGCACTCAAACCTACGGGCTTATGGGGGCTGTCTCACTGAAACCAGCGCCCTGTGGTAGTGTGAGCAGCAGGCAGAGGAGTAGCTGAGAGGACGTGTCCCCACACGCTGAGTTCTGAGTGCTTTTTCTCAGTTGCTGGCGCTATCATGGGGGCTGTCAAATATACAGGAGGTAGGCCTAGCCGATGAAGACGCAGTGACAGGCGTTTGAAGGTGGTACCTTGTTAAGGTTAATTTTGTAAGGCTGTTTCTCAGTTTCTCTCTTACCCTGGCTACCATTAAAATAATTGAGACTCTATTATATTTGTCTAACAAGCTTTACAGCACAATCCTGAGCTCTTTTAATCTGTTCTTAACCCGCTAAACTAGTCTGACTTCCTTTGCCATAATCTCCAAGATACTTGCACTTTAGTGGCTTTTCCTGCTTAGCTCTCTCCTGATGTCTCCTGGAACTTTGCTCTTGACTCGATTCTCTTCTTCCTCTTCTAACTCCTCCCCTGGCTGGCAGAAAGTCCAGCCCTAGTCTTTCCTGCTCAGTGATTGGCTGTAAGCTGCTTTATTGGCATATCAGAGGACAATTGGGATGCAGTGTTCATACAACACTGAGCCAGAACTAGGATTGCAACCGGATGTGGGGGTACAGAAACCAGCCCTGGAATTACACTGTAACCTTAAACCCACCACGCCTGGCTCTTGCTGTGTGGTTTGCTCTATGGCCTCTACCACATATACCCATTACTGTGCCATCCCCACCATATTTCACCAAAACTATGAACGAAAATAAATCTGTCTTTACTTAGGTTAGGTGTTTTGGTCTCAGTAATTCAAAAGTAATGGCTGACTTAGTCTATTTGGGCTGCTGTGGCAGCTAGTGCCCATAGATTGTCTCACAGATGGCAGAGTTGCCCCTCATAGTTCTGGAGGCCAAGAAACAAACCCAAGACAAGGCTCTGGACATTTGGTGTCTGATAAGGGCCTGTTTTTCAGCTCATAAACGTCTCTTCTCACAGTGCCTCACAGGGTGTAGAAGAGTCAAGGCACTTCTCTGGGACATCTTTTAATAAAGACACTAACCCCATTTTCTATCTCACAATATAATCATAATGGCTGTTGGTTTGTTTTTTGAGATAGGGTTGCTCTTTGTAGCCCTGGCTGTCCTAGAACTCACTCTGTAGACCAGGCTGGCCTTGAACTCAAAGATCTGCCTGCCTCTGCCTTCTGAGTATGTGGTTGCTGGGAATTGAACCTAGGACCTCTGGAAAAGCAGCCAGTGCTCTTAACCTCTGAGCCATCTCCCTAGCAACCCCCTACCCCTTTTCTTTTTTTTTTTTTTAATTTATTTATTATTTATACAGTGTTCTGCCTGCACACCAGAAAAGGACACCAGATCTCACTATAGAGGGTTGTGAGCCACCATGTGGGTGCTGGGAATTGAACTCATGAAGAGCAGCCAGTGCTCTTAACCTCTGAGCCATCTCTCCGGCATGCCCCCTTTTCTTTTCTTTTTTCTTCTTACTCTTTTTTTTTTTTTTTTTTACTTTTTTGGAGGAAGGGTTTCTCTGTGTAGGCTTGACTGTCCTGGACTTGCTTTGTAGACCAGGCTAGATCTCTCAGAGATCTGCCTGCCCCTGCCTCCTGGGCACCGGGATTACAGGTGTGTGCCACCACACCTGACTTACCTATTTTCTCTTACTGTATTTCCACAACTGTCCAGTCTCTCCTCTTGTCTTGTTTCCTCAGTGACTTTAACTTGCTGTATAAGCTGTGATCACTAGCTGCTGTTCTGTGTCTTCATTATTCCTGTAAAGATGCTCCATGTGCACATAACTTGTGAGCGTTTATCTGCTATTCTAATGTTAACTTGATTTTCACACCCAGTCAGACTATGAGCTTTTCTAGCTTGCTTTCTATTGCTGTTGATAAAAACTCTGACCAAAACCAACTTGAAGAAAGGGTTTGTTTCATTTAGTCCATAGCCAAGGCAGGAACTCAAGGCCATAGAGGAGCCGGATATAGTGACCTGTGCCTTTAATACAGGGAGACAAAAGGAGAAGGATTTCTGTGAGTTCCAATTCAGCTTCGTTTATGAATATTGTTCCAGGCCATCCTGGAACATAATAGCTAGTCTCCAACAAACAAACAAACAAACGCAGAGCCCACCACTAACAGCAACAAAGACAGGACAGGAATGCTTCTCACTGGCCTGTCCCTCCTCAAGCCCCCTCTCCCTGGCTGTTCAGCTGGCTTCCTTACACAACGCAGGGCCACCTAGCACAGAGCTTCTCAACCTTTCTAATGCTGTGACCCTTAATGTAATTCCAAATGTTGTGTTGACTCCAACCATAAAATTATTTCATTGCTGCTGTTAGGAATTGTTATGTAAATATGTTTTCCAGTGGTGTTAGGCAATGCCTGTGAGAGGGGTGTGACCCACAGTTTGGGAACCACTGGCCTAAGCCATCTGGGCTGTCTGGGCTGTCTGGGCCGTTGTCTAGGCCAACTGGGCTGTCTGGGCCGGCTGGCTGTCTGGGCTGTTGTCTAGGCCGTCTAGGCCGTCCTCCAGTCTTCTCAGAAGAGTGCCCACAGACACATTTGTAGGCTAATGTGAAACAGGCAATCCCTCAGTTGAGGGCCCCTCATCCCAGGTGAATGACCGAGAATAGCCCTCACACCGGTAAAGGAGAAACTACTTCTCCTACAGATCAGCTGAAAAAGTTATAACTAGGATTTCATTCCTGAGAGGTTTCTCAATCCGGCCTTGGGTGTAGCTGTCCTCTCATGTTCCATCACATGGCTTCTCAGTTTATCATCCTGGAGATAATCCCCTTTGGTAAGGGCACAAATCCTATCAAGAATACCCTTCATCATGAGATCATTTCAATCTAATTATTGCCTTAAGGTCTTGTTTCCAAATGCCATCACAGTGAGAGTATAATTCATTCCAAAATATGTTGTGTGTGTGTAATAAGTGATGTGTGCACATATGTATAATAAGTAATGTATATATAATAACGCATGTGTTGTAGTGTGTAGGAGTGTAGGAATGTGTGCGCTCATGCATGTTCCAAGTTTGAAGGCCACTGTTATAACTGTTATGAGGGAATAAAGTATCACTCATTTTCCTCTGGTCCTACTTAGCTCCCCAAAGGTGAGCTGATGAAAAAAGCACATTAGCTGCTGGCTTCCTCTTCTGCTCCTGAGGCTGTGGTGCTGTTTGACACTGTTCCTGGCTTATGGTCTCCCCCTTATGTGTAGATAGCAAAGGTCTAGGAATTAGAAATTAGCTGTTTTAGGACTGGTCATTTTGGAATTAGAGCCTGCACTGGTGTTTGCCATCCACAGGCGGTACTGAGAGACCGACTGTGTGAAATTATCCTTGTCCTGGCTGTTTTTAAAGCAACAGGTGTGCTTTTTTCCCTCTGCAAAACCTTGTCAAGTCTACATGTACTTATTGTGTGTACGCGCACGGGGTGGAACACCGCTGAGAGGACATCTTTTGGAAGTTAGTTCTCTCCTTCTCCCAGTCCAGGGGATCAAACTCAGGTTGTCAGGTTTGGCCCTAAACACCTTTACCTGCTGACACAGCTCACCAGCACTGTCACTTTTCCGAGGCATAAAAATTTCACTGTGTCGCTGAGGACGGTCCAACCCCAATCCTCTTGTGTGCTTTGATTATAAATAGATTTGTCATACTGGATAATCTTTTCTGTTCCATCTCCCCGGTACTTCAAAATGAACCCAGATACACAAATGAGATGGGGTGGGTGGCACATGCCCTTAATCCCAGCACTCAGGCAGGCAGAGGCAGGTGGATCTCTCTGAGTTCGAGACCAGCCTGGTCTGCAAAGCAAGACTAGGGCAACAAGGGCAACACAGAGAAACCCTGTGTTGAAAAACCAAAAAGGAAGGGAAAAAGAAAGAGTAGAGAATCTGGTATTAAGAGTGTGGTAGTGTTGCCGGCATGGTAGCACACACCTTTGGTCCCAGCACCTGCGAGGCAGAGGCAGGCTAATCTCTGAGTTTGAGACCAGCCTGGTCTACCAAGTGAGTTCCAGGACAGCCAGGGCTACACAGAGAAACCTTGTCTCCAAAACCAAACCAAAACAAAAAGTAGAAAGGTAGAAAGGGGACTCCTTGGAAAGAGGAAAAAGACCAGCAGGGGTGGGGAGAGGGAACCAGAGAAGGCAAACATGAAAGTATGATATATGTGTGTATGAAATTCAAATTAATGCCTCAGTAACCTGCATTCTTATGTAACTGTCGTCTCCAAGGCTTACTGCTTCTGTCTCCTAACATAGGCCTAGTACTGGAAGCTTCTAGTCTCTGTACAATCTAATCTAGGTCTAGAATGTTTTCAGCCTCTGAGACTTATTGCTTAGGAAACTTACCCTTTCTA